TTATTATAATAAAACTATATAACTTCCTTCTCTTAATTTACTAAATACTTAAAGTTTATATTAACTTAAAAAGTCTTAATATACTTAAAAAGCTTTATTTACTTTTTATAAAAAAGTATAATAAGTATATTTTTACTATTATTATAAAATAGCTAGATATATTAAAGTAATATATTAATAATATATTTATAATAAATTATATATAACTTATATAATTTAAATTCTTTACTATTTTTAAATACTTATACTAAGCGCTTAGTCTACTAGACTTAAATAGCTAGTATATCTTTTAATAATATTTAAGTATAGCTATAAGCTAATTATTTATAGTAAAGCTTAAATAAAAGTTAGCTAATATCTTTTTATTATATTATTATAATAAGTATTAAATGCTTTAAAACTACTTCTAGTTACTTAAAAAGAATATATTAATAATATATAAATAATATATTTATAATAAATTACTAATAACTTACTTAGTATAATATAATTTATATTATTTAAATTAATTATTTACTATAGCTAAATAATAAAATATTAAGGCACCTTTAATAGCAGTAGTAAAGGATATATATAAGTATTATAAAAAGATATAGTAAAGAAGAGCTTATTTTAATTATAAAGAATAAAAAAGTAATAAATAATATTATACCTAAGTTATTTAATATTACCTTTTTTAAATAAGATATATATTATTACTAGTAATATATTAATAATAGGTTATTAATATATTATATATATATTATATAAACTTATTATATATCTTCTTTTACTAAGTGTTATAATTAATTATAGTATATATCTTTAATATTAAAAGGTTATTATTAGTTTATAAGCTACTTATAAAAAGCTTTTATATAATAAGTATATATAGCTAGTATTCTAGCCTAATAGGCATTTTATAATAATATAAAGCACTTATATAGTTAATATATTATATAAATATATTCTTTATAATAATAATAAACTATAATTTATTAATAAATTATTTATAATATATTATAATAAAACTATTTATATTTTTTATAAAATAAATAATTTATAATTAGTAAGTATTATTTTATATATTTTAATTATACTTATAAGCCTTTTTTTTATTATAATTAGCTAGAATTATATATAACTAGCTATAAATATATAATATATTAATAAACTATTACTAATTTATTATATAGCTATTACTAATATATTTATATACTTAAGTACTTTTTATTAATAACTTAGTTAAAATAGCTTTACTTAATGCTTTTATTAAGTTACTTAATACTCTTTTATAACTTTTAAATAGTAAAAGTTATATAATAAAGGGTTAAGATATTAATAAACTTTTATACTTATATAATAGAATTTATAATATATTATTAAAACTAAGTTTAAAAGCTATAATATACTTTTATAACTAGGTTTTTTTATATTAAAATAGTATTAAATTAATTTATAATATATTAGTAATTTATTATAAATATATTATTAATATATTATACTTATATTATTTTAAGGCTATTATTATTAAGCTTTAATAAGCTAATTTAAGAATATTAAATAAGCTATGCCTAATTTTAATATAATTAGCTACTTAAGTATATATATTAAGTATATAATCTTATTTATTATAATAATATTAACTTATTAACTATAATAACTAAACTAGACTAAATTAAATAATAATAAAATATAGTTTAATACTTTTATTTTACTAAGTAGCTTTAAAAAGCTATTAAATTACTAGGATTCTTATATAATATATTAGTAATTTATTATTAATAAATAGTAAATATATTTTACTTATATAATAGCTTTTTTTTATTATTATTATAATAAAAAGCCTTAAAAGCTAAATATTAAATAAAATTTTAAACTTATTATTATTAAAAAAAGGACTAATAAAAGCTTAAAATAAATTTATTATAAATATATTTATAATATATTTATAATAAATTTATAAGATTTTATAAAGAATATATTTATTCTAGCTTTAATATTATATTAAAAAGGTATTTAACTTTAATATAAAAGCTAATATAACCTATGCTTTACTTTTTAAAAATTTTAGCTAATTAAATTATAAGAAGTATAGGTTATATAAGGTTTTTTAATATAGTAAAAATTTAGAAAAGTGGAGTATGGGTTATATTAGACCAGGGTGCATAGGTCATCTGAGGTAGCACCTTGAAATAAAGGGCATTACTACTACTAATCCAGACTATTGCTTCAAGGCTAGAGCTGATATCGACCGCGGCGCCGGCATGCCGGATTTGGGGGTGCAGCGCAGAGTGGATTTGCGATTTAATTGCCATCGACGGGCCATGACTGAATGCTCCCGTACTACAGAATACTGCGGGAGAGAGAGAGAGAGAGAGGTGGACGTTGGCAAGGTTTGAAGAGCAGCAGAAAGGGGGCGGTGATGACAGGAAATCGTCTGTTCGATTTCGAGCATCACGATCGAGGCACGAAAAGCGGTTTAACGCAAAGTTGGCAAACAGCAAAAGGGGGCGATTGTCTTCCTCTTTCTTTCTTGTAGACTCACCCCCCCTACATCAAAATTCAGCAAGAATCAGCATCCGAACTAGCAGACAGCCAACCCTCTCTCATCGACGTATCAAGTGAAGAAGGAACGAGAAAACCGGGAGGAGGGCTAAAACTTGGGGCAACGGCAGTGGCACAAAGCTGTTGGAAAACGCGGCTTGCTCCGTGGGCCAATTGACTTTGCCCAGCACGAGGACGGCTGGAATTGGTGGCTGGGCTGGAAGGCGACAAAGTTCGTGATCAACCGGTACATACTGACATGAGAAAAGGGAAAAGAGAAAATTCTGAACACGAGTTTTTTCTCTGCATGTGAAGTGCCGGATCAACACTACGTCAACCTGTCATTTGCCTTCTTTTGACGTCGACAACATGACACGGAGGCAAAATTGTTCATCACTGATATTGCCCTCCTGCCTGAACATCACCATCCCAGCTGAAGCCATCGAGAGCGCCTGATAGCAGATACTTACAGGTCTACGGCGTAGCCAAGGGCCCAGGCACCCATCATACTCCGTTCTCCGTCCCAGGCTTCGGGCATTTTCACAGGTCCTGACCCACGCTGAACGTCTTACTAAGGGGGGTCCCCAGGCAAGACCAGAAAATGTCGCAAGACCAATTGCCCTCTTTTCCTGTTTATTCCCGTGGCGGCGATAGTAACGATGCTCCAAGAATACCCCGTAGCCTCAGCCCTTATCTGAGCATGAACCCTCACCTGAAGCAAGCTTCACCTTCTGAGCGTCTGCCTGCCCATCTTCATCAAAAAGGGGGGAGACGGCGCCTATAGATGCAGGGGGAATGCATACGTCGAGCGCGATATCGTAGTACTACTACTCCACGGGTATGATGGATGGAGTCTTGCGTCGTCTAGACGCATAAATAGCTTCATGTACGCATACGGAGTGTGCATGCAGAGTGGTAACATCCCAAGATTAGCAGAGTACGGGGTACATTAGCAACGACCTGCCTGCCCTGCCGAGGTGCCTTATCCGCCGCAGCCCTCAGACGGATTACGATAGTACTTCCGTTCAGGGCCTGGTGAAGACTACCTGGCAGGTATCCCATGATCATTCCTACATGCTCGCTCGCTCCAACAATAGAACCAACCTGACATCATCTCACCATCACAAGCTCGGATGTCCTCGTATGTACAGCAAGAGGCAGACAGGCATTAGTATCACGCAATAGCCTCATCCAGCTTCTCCTTCCACCGACCATCTCCTAAACCCAAACACACACACATCCAGCAAAAGCCGAGGCCTTTTTTTCTCTTCCTTTGAAGAATTGTAATACAATAGTACTATTACATCCGGAACCGCTGGAAACTCGCGGCGGCGAACCACAAAATAGTTGTTCTAGCCCCAGGGGTCTCGTCTTCCAAGATTCCCTGTTTCTGCCCTCTTCCTGCTTGGATTCTGCTTTAACCCGATGCTTCTGTATCCACCGCCGGCCGGCACTAACATGACACAAGGGGACACACACGGCTCGGAAACGACGATGACGGCTGCAGCCATTGGGCAGGAGGCGATTTCGCAGGATGGGGGTCTTTGCGGAGCCGAGGAACTGAATCATGGGCAATCCGGCGGAAACGGATCAACTTCGGTAATAAAGGGAAGAACTAGCAACGCGCAGATATGATGACAGTCGTGTTGTGTTTACGAGGGTGATGATGAACGGAGCCTCCTCCATCAGGTAGTTTGCTGACGATATCAGCTACTGCATGCACGTCTCATCGTACTACTATTAGTATGTACACACAAGCATGACTTACACCGGTCTGGTCCTTTTGCTCATTCGCTCTCACCCTCACCTTCACCCTCACTCTCATCAGCATCACGAGTAGTAAGTCATGCCAGTAACAAAAGATGACGACGTCTGCCAAGCAAATCTCCCCGTTCTCTCCCACGCAACGGTCAGTGCGCTGCTCTTAGCGGGCGTCCATCCATGTTAGCAACCGCTGTCAAGCCGGTACAAGCGACGACACGCCCAGACACGCGAAAAACAGCCCTAGCATCGCCAAGTCCAGAGGGCACGGCCGCCTCATCGGCTTGGCAAAGGGCGTCGTGCAGAATGTCTTGGTCAGGTGGGAATTTCTCGGTAATAATTGTACTAGTAGTATGAGTATGAAACAGAACTGAGAGCAGTGTCAAAGCGTCCATTATCTTCAACGGCCCGTCTTTAGCAGTGAAACAAAACATACATGCAGTGGCGCGGCGTTCAGCCATATCTCTCGTATGTACATGTAGTCGGCATCTTTAGCTTCCATTCTTCGGTCCGCCAACCAACGTGCGCCATTATTCCGCTCCAAAGTCCTTCAGCAGCCTCTCGGCCTGTCCGTCCATGATCTAAGAGTAATACCTCACGAAGGCACTCCCAGACACCGCAACCAAAGGTATCTCGACGACTTACTCAAGTCCCCAGACCGAGCCCCAGAACAGGTGGCAAAAGCCCTCTAACCCAGTTCTCGACCGTAATGGCAGTGGAGCAGCAACAAAAGGCACAAACCCAGAAGATCCCTTTTCCCTCTGATTCCGCGCCCTTTTTCTTCAGCCTCTTTTCTTTCGGCTTACATAAGGTAACTCGTACAAATCGATCGCTCTCTCTTTTTTTTCTTTCGCGATTCGCGTCGTTTCCAAAAATTCGAAATCCGGCTTAGCGGCAATTTGCCCTCGTTCCGCTGACCGGCGATTTGAAGCGCCGGACTTCCGATGCTCCTTGTCATTGATGGTCCCTTCCAGTCACATCCACCCATACCTTACCTACCTCATCTCGTCACTCATCACTCATCACTCATCACTCACCCAATTACTGACTGCATTCAGGCGAGTACGAGACTCATGTGGTGTCATGCAGGATTCAGCTGCGATTGTGCGCGTGACTTGGAGATTGCTTCCCTTTACGGCAAGTCGCCGAACTGCTTCATGATAACATAAGCTTGATGTGTCAGTGTTTGTGTGCGAGAAGGCTGTCTGAGTGGGTGACCAGCAGTACATAGTCAACTCTGCCTCGCGAGAGTGCTCTGAATTCGTACGTAAATGCATACAAACAGACCTACCTATCTAATTGGCATCATATTGTAGGTAGGTAGCTAAGGCTCTCTCATCGCATACGTCGGTCTATTAGCCATCATGCGATAATTTGACATGAAAGTATATGGCCTCAGCCTACCCTAAACTCCAAACTCCATTAACGCCGAGCATCCCTTAACAATGCGACAATTACTACGAATCCAATTCCCAAACTCTCAACTCATAGTCCTTCACAAGATCTCAATTCATCTCACACACGTACTTTCGCCAACTTGAACTCTCCTTTCACATGAGTCTCATGTCGTGATCCATGTGACTTAAAGGTATCTTGAACTTCGTATGATCGCCGAATTCAAGTATACCCAACCAAGGCTCAGCATCCCATATCTCCGGAATCCTCTCGTGCAAAAATGACCGACCGCGTCACCAACGACGGCACCACGACAGTCCGCAAGCGAAAGACACATCGCAAGTCTCGCCTCGGCTGCGGCAACTGCAAGATTCGCAGCGTCAAGGTAGACCAAATCAAACGCCTCCTTTCTTCCCCCCCCTATTTCACCCTCGTAACGACAACCTCTATACATACTTCATGCACCACATCCGTAGCCAGTCCAGCCGGACCAGCCCTCGTATGAAAGCAATGACTTACACGCCGCCCATAGTGCGATGAATCGAAGCCCTCCTGCCGCCGTTGCCACGCATCAGGCTTCACATGCAACTACTCCCGCACCATCCCAGCCCTACAACTCTCTCACGCAAATGTTCTCAGCCTCAGCCTCAATCTCGGACATGCCAGACCTCGAACTGCTCAGCCAGACTCCTATGTGACGGACAGCATCTTCAAAGAGTCATCTCTCCAGCCCGGCCTCCAGATTCCCATCATCTTGCCCTTACAAGGTAAATTGGGCACTTATGTCCTCCAACCCCAAGACTACGCTGCTCTAAGTCGCTTTCAAAAGAGGACGGGAGAGACCCTGGGCAATGCCGCCTCGAGGAAATGCTACCGCCAAGTCATGGCCAGCCTCGCCAAAGAAGTACGTCCTCCATATTCCTCCTCCTCCTCCTCCTCCTCCCCCAAGATGTACTTTTCCAATTCTCCCATAAACTTCCCCTGAACATCGTCACTAACGCATCATACCAGCACCCCTTTCTCTACCACTTCTTCCTCCTCCTCTCTCTCCTCCACGACACCCACCTCTCCCCCTCCCCACCATCTGCATCGCAGCAGTCCTCCCTCGCCTTCCACTGGTACCACGCCACCGCCCTCCTCTCCCACTTCCTCTCCCTCCCCTCTCCCTCCACGACACTCTCCTCCTCCCACCGCGACGCCCTCTGGATATCCGCCTCCATCCTCGGCGCCGCCTCCTTCGCCTCCATCCGCACCCAGGACCCCCCCGCCGCCTGGCCCCTCGCCGACCCAGATCCCGCAAGCGACCTCGACTGGCTCAAGATGGGCCACGGCAAGCGCGCCGTCTGGTCCATCACCGACCCGTCTCGCCCGGACAGCGTCTTTCACAATATCCTCGACAAGACCCCCATGCAGCACAATTCCTTTGCTACTTCCGCACCAATCCCGCCGGATGCTTTACCCAAGGCCTTTTACATCGTCTTCAATCTCTCCTCTTCCCCGGAGGACATTGTAAAGAACCCTTATCACAGCCCCTGCTCCATCCTAGCAACTCTCTGGAACACCCCCATTGACGACGACAATGTCCTCTACTTCCTCAGCTTCATCACCCAAATAGACCCTTCCTACCGCGCCCTCGTTGAAGAAAAGGACCCGCGCGCGCTGTTACTGCTGCTATACTGGCATACTCTTGTGATGCCTCACGAGAGGTGGTGGTTGCGTAGACGATGTGACGTGGAAGCCAGGGCGATCTTGATCTACCTTGAGCGAAATTGCGCGGACGACGAGGATATCATGGAGTTGCTGGAGGTGCCAAGGGCAATCTGGAATGGGGCCACAGAATGGAACACGGTCCTAACGACGGTGGAATGATGATGTATAATGAGCCATGGGATGTGATCTCAACTTCAAGAAATGATATACTTGATAATGAGCCAAGGCATATGCCCTCAACTACAACCTATAATATACTATATGGCCAAATATTCGATGGGTAAGTGCACATCGCTCGATCGCTGGGTAAAAGAACAACATTGAATACAAGTAAACAAGAAACCGTGTCGTGGAAGCACTCGCCTTCAGCCAAGTATCATGTTCCACTCGCCACATTGTTCGTCGCTATAGAAGCCGCCTGCTTCTCAGCATCCGCCGTCTTGCCTCCATCGTCCAGAGTGCTCGACAACGGGTGTGACGCATCGTATCCCACCGACTTGACAATGCCCAAACCCCTCGTGCGGCCTTCGCGAAACAGTAGCCGGTCTCCGGGCGCGATATACTCTGGGCGCTGGACAAAGCGAAAGGCCACGTTGGCTCGGTCGCCGGTGCGAATCAGCTCGCGGTCAATGTCGATGATGGCACAGGTCTGCGACACAGCACCGACGTGCAGCATGGCCTGGTACCGCTTCTTGATGGTTGTCGCGTGAGACAAGATGAGGACTATCGGATAAGATTCATTAGAATGGACAGGTTCAGACTTATATCGGCAGAGATAACCTGTGACTCACCTTCTGCGACAAACTCGCGATACACCTTGGGGCCGGTCTGTCCCTCCTCCCTATGAAGCATCACCATGCCCTTGCGCACATCTCGCCGCTTCATCTTCTTGAGCGCAAACGAGGCCGACTGTCCTGCCTCGGCCACCTGAACGCGGATCCTCTTGCGCTCGATGGACCGCACCGCCGTCGGCATAAAATGTCCCAGAGAGTCGGGCCCGATGAGCACGTTGTCGCCCTCGTGTACCATGCCGGACTTGACGATGCCGGAGACTACCGTCCCCGTGAACGGCACCGAGAACGTGTCGTTAACCTGGAACTCGAATGGTGCGTCGGAATGGTAGTGCCCGTGGTGCGGCAGCATGTTAAGAAACATGCGCACAAGGTCTAGGTTCTCGCCCGTCACGTTGGACACCTGGAAGACGGGGCAGATGCGCTTGCTCACAAACTGCGTCGCCGTGTTGACGCACTCCTCACGGTTGGTGATGAAGGTCGGCATCTTCCTCGCGCCGGGGCTCTTCATGATCTTGTTGACCTGGCTGATGGTCTGTTCGAGGATGTTAGGGGGACAAATGTCAATCTTGGTGATGATGACCATGACGGGGACGTTGAGCGCCAGCGCAATCCCCAGATGCTCCTTGCTCATGCCCACCAGCCCGTTGTTGGCCGCCACCATGAGGAGGCAGAAGTCGGGGCTGCTGGACAGCAGGCCAAACACCGTCGTCCGCAGGTACTTTTCGTGTCCCGCCAGGTCGCTGAACGTGATGACCTTGGCGCTGTGCTTCCCAATGTCTTCCCAGGACAGCTTGCGGCCGGGGGTGTCCGAGGTGATGACCTGGCCGTGGCTGTCGAATCCCATAATCTCCATGCCCACGGAGCTTGTCCGTCCTGTCTCCATCTCGTGCTTATGGCGGAAGAGGTTCACACGTGCCTTTCCTCGTCCGTCGTCGAGATCGTTCTTTACCAGGACGCCCAACAGCGAGCTCTTTCCAGCGTCGACTGCGAAATATTAGTCACAATCCAGCCCAGATGACAGGTGGGTTAGATAGACTGAGAGAAGCTCACCATTTCCTACGACAGCTATCCTCGTCTCAATAACATCCTCGACCCTGGCCGGTATCCTCCGGATCAGGATCTTGCCGCTGCAGCTCTTGTCCTTGGGCGGGCTGGCAGTCGTGCTCTCGGCCTCTTCCTTGCCGCCAACATTGGTCGTCAGAAGAAGCTGGCAGTCTGCGCGCACCTTCTTCGCCGCCTCCACCAGCCTCGCGTATGCCTTGTTCCACTCGTCGAGCGTCAGCTGCATGGATTCGCCGCTGTTTTCGAAGCCGAGGTCGAAGACGGTCTCGCCGCCGCCCTCTTCTATCCGCTCGACGATGACATCCCCGAGCTTCTGTAGCGAGTCGTCGTCCGATCCGAGCACGAGGTCTTTCAGCTTGACTCGCGGCGCCGAGTCGACCAGATTGAGGCTATCTAGCAGCTCGTCGAGCTCCGCGTCGTGCTCTGCCGAGTCGGGGACGGGTTTCTTGGTCGAGGAGGGATACCGAAGGTTTTGCTGCTGTTCTACGTATTCGGCAAAGTCACTGAGGGCCTGCATTGTCGCACTTAGCTTCTGTAACACGAATTGCATACGCATCGTCTCCTACATACCGACTCGCCCTTGCGCTTCTCATGGTCGTGGCCCTTTGCCACCTTGGTTCCCTTGGTCGCCATTATGCTGGGGAGGCGAGCAACAGCCGCACCCGGTTTATACGCACTGAACGAGACCTGACAGTTGGAGGAGACGGAAGGAGAGCGACGCTGGGAAGCATGATAGAGACGTATATAAGGAGCAATAGCATAGACTGCCTATGACTCTTCGGCCTGCTCAGAACGGTTTAGCAGTTAGTCATGGCAAAAGGAGTCACCGTCCGTCCAAGTTGAGGCTCAGCTTCACGCCAGAACGCCTCACAGCAGGCGAGTGGCCGGGATTAGGTTATCGATAAGCCGGCTTGTCGAGAAATACGGGGCGATGACACGACTGAGCTCTGATTCCCACTAAGAGCAAGCCACCAGTAGTTACATATCTGCAAACGGACGGCCAGAGGACGGTGATATGCCACGTAGGGCAAAGATCATATCAAGACGCAATTGAACGAGTCCCGTACCTGCGAAGAACAAGATAACTGATAACTCCTGGAGAAAGATCCTGATACTCTGCATCCATACCATGTTCATGTCACTGCCATGACAAGCTCCAGCGACTGTAGTAAATGTCCTCCGGCATTGCGAGATCACCTGTGTGTAGAGCGACGTTCTGAGAGCCTTGTTGGCCATCAGCCAAGAAAGCAGCTTATCGGAGAATGTTCGCCTCGTCCTTTGTGTTACCGCCGCAATCACCCTTCATACCGTGGCACGACGCGCTTCCAGCATGGCATGGTTGTTTGCATCGCGCGCAATCGTGGCTTTGGCTCGGTTTGTTATTGGTATCATTGCTGCATTGATGTCTAAGAAGTGTCTAAAAAGGAACCTGCGGAGAGATCAAGACAACACTATCGCCTATAAACGAGTTAGCCAGACTTCAACACAGTAGCCCAATGAAAAGGAACCGACCTCTCACAAACAGCATTTCTGATTTCCTGCTAATTGTCTTGAATACTGTTAGAGTCGTATCTACGGTAGGCGATACTCGCTTGCCATACCTTGACCTCGTCACTGTCCTCCTCATCGTCATCCACGGCGTAAATGGTCTCCTCCACCTCGCCCAGTACCAGGTTGCAGTGGCTATCGTAGGCCTGGATCCCCATAATCAGCATACATTCTCCGTCAGAATCGACACATTAGCGGCGGCGCATACGTGGAGCTTGCCCTTGAGCTCTCGGTCACCGCGCAGCTTGACGAAGACGACCTCGTTCAGCAGTAGCCGCACGAGGTCGAGCGGCTCGGCCACGTGACTGGTCTCCTCCCCAACATCCGCCATGGTTGTATGTAGAGCTTCGCTTTCTGTTTTCTCGAGTCTGGGGGCGGATTCGCGCTTGTCGTCGTGAAATTCCGTCTGTGTGGTAAAATCTGAGAGCTCTGAAATGCCTTGTCAAAAATCACAAGCAGCTTCGCATTGCCCCTCCATGGCGTGGGAAATCTTCGGCGGCTGTTGACCAGATGCTTGTATCGCGGCGGATTTGGATATGCTGGCATATGCAAGTATCAGGGCGTCGCCCCCATATCGCTTCGAGCTTCAAGACCCGCGGCCCCATTGAAGCCACTATTTACCCCAGATTCCTGAGCTTCGACCACCGGCCAATTGATTGATTGGAGCGTCAGTCGCCAGTAGTTCAAGTGTCTCAGTCTGCTGCGTCTCCGATGATAAGACACGAAGCAGCATCATGATGCCCGGACGGATCGCCGGGCCTGGACGCCGCTTCAGCAGACTAACGGCGCTCAACAGCCTCAAACCTCAACGATGTGATGCTTCACCACTGATGAGCGGACTGCTAACCGCCGGCCGGCGCAGTCTAGCCTCTCACTCATTGACTCCCAATCTTCACGGCAACCTGCTGTCGGAGCAAATGCCGTCGAGTGTCCGGCCCGAGCTGGCGGTCCTCCTCGACTCGATCCGGAGACGTAATCTGTCACGCATCAGCTGGGAATTCACTGCCTGGACTGACGTTCTCAGCGACGTCGACCTACCGCATAACGAAGATGCTGTGCGAGAGGCCCGAGGGCTCCCCGCAGCCACTGTCTCTGAGATCCTGCGCAGCATCGACCCTCTGCTGTCCCCGGAGACTGACATCGCGCACGGCCTCAATCTCACACCGGCACACACGCAGTTCACCTATACCGGCATGCTGGTGAACCAGTTTGGCGTGCGCAAGGTCCATCACGGCACCCTCCAGGGCGTCCGCACCTTACTGGACATTCGCAGTCAAGCGCCGCCGTCCCAGAGCCCGACAGCCGCCGACTACGAGGTGGCCATGAGATGCGCCGGAGCAGCAGTGGACTATCAGCAGGCCAAAGAAATATGGACGGCCATGGCTGCCAACGGCCTGCAGGACTCGCGCACGTCCAAATCCTGGTCCGACTTCATCAAGGCTCGGTTCATGATAGAGCCAGTGTACTACCAGTTCGACCGCTCCCGGGTCGCCTTCCTCGCGCGCGACCTGTACAGCAACCACAACCCCTTGCCTACATCGAGGCTGGAGCACCTGGACAAGATCAGGTTCAGCATCAACGCGCTGAAGAGAGAGCCGTGGAATCGCAGACTCGATCAGCTGGACGAAGACATGCGGCGTCTCCTCCGCCGGCGCAACGGCTACACGAGCTTCAAGAACCACTGGATCCGCGATCTCTACTACGGCCACGAAATGGACGAAGAGCTGCTGTGCACCTCGATGATTGCCTTTGCCCGCTCCAGCTCCGTCTACTCCATCAAGAAGATGATCCTCGAGAGCTACTACGGCATCATCGTCACCGGCACGCACCCATCCGACTTTCAAATCTCCGGCGGCCGCGATTTTCCGTCAACCTCCCCCCTGAAGCCTACCCCCCGCCTGCTTCACGCCATTGTCGAGGCCTTTGGCTCCATGTCCCACATCGTCCTCGGCACCAAGCTGCTCGACTTCGTCTCCCGCCGCTACGGCATCCCCATCCCGCACGAGACGTGGTCCAACCTCCTCAGCTGGACCTATCTCTCCGCCTCTAAGCCCTTCAAGCGCACCCGCAGCATATACGCCGGCGCTAACCCCTCCCCAGCCTTGACATCAACCTCTTCCTCCGCCGCCGACGTCCGCCACATCTGGGATGTCATGACCTCTACCCCATACAACTTCAAGCCCACCCTCGACGACCTCGACATCTACATCAAGACGCTCCTCGCCCAGCGCTCCTTTGGCAGCGCCATCACCCTCATCCGCACCCACGCCCTCCCCCTCTACGCCTCCCTCCGGCAAACCCACCACGCCGCCCTGGTCGACGAGATCCTCCAGCTCGACGCCCTCTCCTCCGTCAACAACTCCCACGCTGCCTCCCTCACCGCCCGCGCCACCGCCCGCCGCCGCCGCGCCCAGCTCCTCCACGACCACGCCCACCACCTCATCGCCTCGTGGCTCGCCCGCCTCCTCAAGTCCGCCTCCGCCGTCAGCGCCGCCCGCCAGGGCTCCTTCATGCGCGTCCGCGTGCCGGACCTCCTGCGCGAGTTCCCAGACTTCTTCCAACTGCAGGTCCGCTACCGCACCGCGCAGGGCCACGTCGTCCTGCAGCGCCCCGACGAGGACGTCACGCCCCGGTTCGACTGGGACGCCGGCGCATGGCGCACCACGCTCCCGCAGAAAAAGGCCGGCATCTACGCGCGCGACTTTGAGGGCTCCGACGAGCCCGACTTTCCCTGGCCGCAGGTCAAGAGCCTCAAGGTGCTGGAGTGGAAGCGGACGCCCAGGAAGAGATCCGAGCTGTCACGAAGACCGCCTGGTGAGGCAGCCAGGGAATCGAGGGCGGCGGCGTGGTGGGACAGTATGGAAGAGGAGTTGATGCGATAGACGCCTTCTGTTGGATACCCGCATGTATATAGGGCTTGTGCCTGATGAATATCTCATACATAGAGGAACATGTGGACGAAAGGACAAGTCTACAGAAACCTAGACGCATATTACCTACACACGCCGCTTCCATCTCATACCGCACACATAAGTGAAGCCCATTTAGTCCTCGCAAACAAGCATTACAAAAGGGTCATTATTCGTAAATCATTCAATCTATTTACCAGATGCCGGAATGCAACCATTTCATACAAGAATGCAGTCAACCAAGGGTATCTATCGCTGCCTTCCTTCCATTCCATCTCACATATCCCAGTTGAACTCAGACCAAACAAGATACCCAAGCATATTATCTCCAGTTCGCACATAGACTAAAAAGCCCCAGAAACGGTAAAGTCGTTCAGTGTCACGGTGAAATGCTCAAGATCGATCCATGCAAGTTGATCCGAGCTTAACTTCAACAAAGGAGAGGTAGTTCGTCTTGTAATAGTGCTCTTCGAGAGTCGTCAAATCTCTCCCGAGACCATCATCAGGTGTCAAATAATTGTTTCGACATCATCAACCTCCCATGGCGGCCTCGGCCAAGACTCCCAGCAAGCTGGCGGCAGCACCGCCAATGCCCACCACGCCGAGAGCCTCGCCCCAGGGATTCTTCTTCGTAGATCTCTCGCGTCTCCGGTCATCACGGCGGTCCCGATCGTGGTGGTGCGATCGGTGGCCCTCGTGGTCTCTGTCTCGGTCGCGGTCGCGTTCTCGTTCTCGATCTCGGTCCCGGTCCCGGTCCCGGTCCCGACGGTATTTGTCATCGTGGGTTGGGTCGCTGTCTCGCCTCCTTTTCTCTCTATCTTCACGACGCCTGGCGTGGTCGTCCCTGTCTCTGTCATCGCGATCTCGGGATTTCCTGGAGGTCGAGTCTCGATTCTCACGGCTATCCTTTTCCTGTCGGGCAGCGACTTCGTGCGGCTCTGGATCGAATCGCACATGATTCGTGTTCTTGTTCTTCAAGATCGGCTTCGGCATGACAGTGGTGCTTGGAGAGGACTTGCTCTTTTCTGGCGGATTCACGATGACGGGATAGGTCTTGGTTCCTTTCTCGCCTAAAACTTTCTCGTCGTCTGCATCCGACACGTCGCTACGGCCATCCGAATCCTTGTCATCATCAATATTCTCATCTCGACTACTCTCCGAGCCCGTCCGCTCGCGCCTGGTTACATCGAAAGAATGATGTTTCGTCATCGGAGGCACGCCTCGCCGAGCAGCCCGACATTCCGCGCTCAAGCGGGCATATTGAGTGACTTGATCGAGAGTTAGGCGGCCCAAGATAGCGACATAGCCCGGACGGGCCTCGTACCGCACGCCGACACGATGGAGAGCCTCGGGGCTGACGAGAGCGCGGTCGATTTTGGTCCACTCCGCATGCATGGGGATGTCCTGCCCAAAGCTATCCGGAGCCAACCGGGGCATCGATGCTCCCCCATATGCTGGCGGGGCGCTGGAGCCATACACATGAGGTGCCATTCCTTCAACGCCAAGATGCTTCGTTTGAGGGATATCCCGAGGGGCTGTAGAATCAGGCAGCCTAATCTCGGGCAGTGGCAGAGCGCCGGACATTATGGGCTGGAATGATGGAGCATCAGCCTGCGTTGGGGAGCTGCTCAGATGGAGGCCAGCCACATCTGAACTAAGCGAGTCCATCAATAAGAGATCTCGGGTGGAGATGAGGGTGAAGGAATCTCCCAAGTTGCTTGCATCTCCTGGTGAGGCCCAAGAGCGGGGATCGCGTGAGTGTTCTTGGACCAAAGCCGGGTGAGGTGACTGATCTGGTACCAATCGGTCAGACTTGGTGACGGCAGGCGCCTTTGCATAGTTGGCGGGTGGAAAGGTCATATGGCGACCATGCAGCGGCGCGGGTGCGGGTGTCGAGGTGCCATCAAGCTCGAGTAGGCCCTGAACGGTGGGCGGCACGCCGTCTTTCACAGACAGGACGGACTGGATCTCCTGAATGTAGGCGCGCAGAATATCCTATCTTCTCATCAGCTTCATGTGTACTCGCGTCATGCAAGTTTAGGGTTTCAGATCGTTTGTAAGGGGGGCCGTACCTCATGCTCATCCAGCACCTTGGATGAGAATCCCTCCTTGATAAGCTCGGCCTTGAACTTCTTCCACAGTTTGTCATCGCCGGTGGAGGACTTGTTGCTATCGCGACGAAAGAGCCTGCGCCCGATAGCATCCACCTTGCCCTTGATTGTATCCAGACTGGGCCCGCGGCGGCGGCCGGGTTTGTCGCCATGCCGGACCAGATCTAGAAAGGCGTCGATGACAGTCTTTTGATGAACCAGCTTGGTTTGCACAGCGGTGATGCCCTCAGCAGCGCTATCAGCATAAGGTCCTCCACCTCTGCTGTTCAGATCTAGGACGAGCTCAAGCTGCTTTAGTGTCGTCTGGGAGTCCTTGATGATGGAGTTTAGCTGCTTGGAGTAGGGACTAGAGTCCGAAGCGTTGAGGCGTGAGTTTGGATCGGCAGCCTCGATGCGCAACTCGCGCAGCGCCTGGTGGAGGCTGCGGACGGCCTGCGAGACATCCGTGGAGAGAGATGGGACAGTTGACTGAGAGCTGCGGATGTACAGGGTCCTGGCAAAGGCGTCGACGGCATCGATTTGTTGGACAACGGAGGTACCGCTCATAGCTACCTTGCAGTGGCGAGGGGAGAAACAAACAGTAGCTGGATCGATGTGCTGTAATGCGTGCTGGCTTGAGAATCGAATCTTGGGTTGGAACCTGGTCGTTGTATGAACAAAGATGAGAGCTGACCAGGCTGTGCGAGGCGGTTGTGAGTCGAGGGTTGTGCGTTCTTGGGAGTCTTTGCAGGGCCCGGGTTAGGCCGCAGCGGAATGTGTCATGCAGTATGTAATGCAGAATAACCTAATGGCGATGACGGCAAGTTTAAGGCAAGGTCGTCTGGCTCGCGTGTCCTCGTGATAGGTGCCGCTGCTTGGCTGGCGGATGCCGATCTGCTTGCTGGTTGGTCAGCGGGCGGGAGTAGTTTGCTGGCAAGTGGGCTGAGATGGCGCAGCAGTTGGTCCGTATCGTCGAGTGATGGTATCTCCGGTTGCAGGAAGAGGCGAGTCGCTCCAAGTTGTTGCTGATGTAACAGGAGATGGATTGAAGGCAAAGACGACGGGCGAAAAGAGGATGAAGGTGAAGGAGAGAAGAGAGAAGGAGGATGAAGAAATCAGATCGGGTAAGGTAGGCCGGAACAGAGAGACAGAGGAAGGTCCCCTCCATTTTGAACCTCCTGCTTCCTTCCTGCCAGCTGAACTACACCCACGAACCGCAGTGGAAGCTGCGGGTGTACAAGGCGCACCACTTATCGATACCACATGTACCTCGCACCCACAGCTAAATGGCTTGCATGGCCTCTGTACCACTTTCGTCCTCCAAGCCGCATGCAATGTCACGACGCACAAACGCACATCTCTCCACCCCTCTTTTTGCATCCATTCTCAATCAGGCAATAGACAAACAGCCCATCAGCAGTTGCAGCTTTCGACAAATTACATACATACAGGCATAAACAGTCGATCCAGACGCCCAAGTTCTCGCAGGTTCACGCCCAAGACACAGACCGCAGCATGTGGCTGCATCCACGGGCTGTGACGTCGTCAAACCACCCTCGAGTCTAACCCACAGGGGTTCAGGTTGCCACAGGGGGGGCCTCGAGCCTCTGAGGGGCGCCATTCCCGACCCTTGTCGTGACTTGCATGTGCTTCTCGGTGTCTGGTGCTGGTTCATGCTTTTGTCTCAGTGGCCATCTGGCCCTATTAAAGCTCAAAATGGACAGTAGTAGAAGGATACGATTGTACCTGTACCTGACTCGACACTGACCCTGCAGCGCCAAAGCCGAGCGATTGTCGGAGACTCACTCGCAGTTGAGCCTTGGAGGAAGCCTGACGCACCGATTATCGACTTGACCAGACCTTTTACGTCAAGACTGCCTCTAGTATGTACTTTCCATCTTACTTACCTACGACTACTAGATCCGTACGAGCATATCGTTTCTCCGAGGCATCTCTTCTTGCTAAGATCATTCATTCTATCTTTGGTTCCGTATCCTTTTGCCACTTCGTGTCTCGAGCGTGTAAAACCAACTCTAGAACATTCAACACCATGGCCGATATTATCTAGCGCCCCCACCGAACCTTCACCACCTTACTGTAAACCTCAATACATACAAGCACTCCATCCCCATCTAAATCAAGGCTGTGCTTCTCACCTTCGGCGCCTTCCGCAACTCCATACGAGTAAGATACACTCAGACTATATCCTCCCAGCCACGGTGGCAAAGTGAAACATGGAAAAAGCATGTCACGCATGAGCTGTGCTTCTACTTGGGTTCCTTGGCCGAAAGCTTTGTATGTAGAGACCTACCTTGCCTACCCATGAAGTCATGCATGTTGGGTGTAATAGGCCATGTAACCCCCCCCACAAGGTTAAAAAAAAATAACAATGCGCTTCAGCCCCAGGATATCGGTCCTCATAGTATCAAGAGAAAACGGGGGAATCAGCCCTCGTGTTACACGCATCTTATCGAGGCACACTCACTCAATCGACTCATGAAGCACATGTGCGGATATCAGCATCGAGTTGCCTTACACAGACCAGACCATTCCCCGTACAACATCGCACCAGATACACGGGCAGACCTGCTTCAAAGCCAACCTCTGGTTCCATGCACGCTTCTTACAGCCATACTCTTCACCTCCTCACAACGTGGCATCGTCTGCCCTCCTTTCGCCTTACCTAGCCATATGTTACCCTGGCTCACCCATCACAAAAGACCCTTGTGACAATGGCTTCTCATTCCAGCCTCAGGAGTCAAGAGACTCACAAGATCAAGCCCAACTTCACTTACTGCACAGACATTTCCTCCCTGGCCTCTCCTCACCATCACCATATGACCATGTCCCTGCATTCCTTTTCAGGTGCAGCCACGATTGCCAACAAGATGCGCTGGCAACAAGCCTCGTTACACATGGCTGCCTTGACTTGCGAAACAACCTCTTGAACAGTGACCCCGTCATTGGGACCGTGTGGTGCCTTGATCCCATCCTTCCATTGACAAACGAGCAATGACACGACACAACCACCCCGCAGATGGCTTCATATACACAAAACACCAATGCTCAATTACATCAATCCATACGTAAACTCTATACAGTGGTATTAGCCAGCCATTCAGCTACCGGAATTGCCACCCCCTCTGCAATCCTTCGGCCCCCGTATCCCTTCACCGAACAATCCCGCTTCTACCTTGTGGGATGTTGTCCTATGCATCTTACAGCCCTCGGCTTTTTTCTCCGAGTCACTGGTTTGACCCATTTCGGATACCGATTCCTCTTGAGCCGCACTAGTCGGATGGTCAGGAATCCTTCTGTCCAGCTCCCCCCCCCCCCTCTCTCCACAGGCCCTTGTCCCAATTCTTGATTCAAACCCCTTCTTGAATACGTCAAATACTCGCGCCATAGGTAGTCTCCGAATCACTTCCTCTAGTGCAGAGAAACTCCCAAGTAAAGAAAAGTGGCTCAGATAGCGAGCTTCTCCAAAGAGTAAGCATCCACCTTCTGACTGATCAGGTGTCCCGTCTCTCGAACGCTTCGCTGCACCACCTCACCTCCAGACACCACCTTTTCCCTCGTAGGCAACGACTTTGTCTTCAAGCCCAGTGGCAGTAGTCGCGACTCCCTGTTCTCCAAGTGGACAAGGATCGGCTTGTTCGGGCCCTTGCTCTGCCTGGCTGCACTGCCCTTCTGCACCGCGTTGCCGAATCGCACAGTCTCGCTCAGGATGCCGTTCAGGAAGACCGCCTCTTCAATGCCCTCTAGTGCGGCAGTCACCTCGAGTCGTAGGGCCGTCAGGAAGTCGCTCGCCTCAGCCTTGTCTGCCCACGAGATGGCATCATTGAACAGCCATCCGCCAGCTCCCACAGCATCCAGGCATCGGCCAAGGAGGTCGGCAATCAGGGCAATGACGCCATCAGGCGGAGGCTCATTGCCCTCCGAGTCAAAAGCGGTAGGGTCAATATAGAGAGAGGTCCACGCGCCGCGCAGTAGTTCCACCCGCAGCAGATAGATGAGTGACATGATGTCGTCCGTCGACACCGTCGTCCGGAGCGCCTTGACCGTGTTGAGTGCCGGCAACCGCCACAGCTTGGTGAATGCGAGAGTCAGCCCACGAGAACGGCTACTCGAGTCATCGCCGAGGTAGTGCTCCGTCACTGCAATCTTTCGCTCCAGGTCGTCCAGGTCCATCTCAATGTCCTCCTTGTTGCCATCGCCGTTGTCGTTGCCGCTGTCACGGTGCGGCTCGCTTGTCAAGAGCTTGGTCGTATCCCGTTTGCTCTGGGGAATCAAGTCCATGCTGAGCATCAGTGCCCGAATGGCAAGCAGGAGCTCGACCTCGCCTAGCTTCGTTGCCTGCAAGTAGTTGAGCAGGAGGGTCAGCGAGGGATCGGCGTCCGCAAGGCATCGAATCAAGTCGCCCGCTACGGCGCGGTTGTCCGATGCCTCGGGGGCCAATTCATCCCTAAAGGCTGTTCGCAGGTTAGACAAGGTGAGGTGGCCGGCGACCACCAGATACGTAGTGACATTGCTCTCGGGCAAGACGAGGCGCAGCTCAGGTCGTACCGAGTCTCCATCCGCCTTGGTGTCAACCGAGAAGACCTGACTAATAGCATAGATGATCCATCTGCGGTCGGCAGTAGGATACGATGCCCCCGAGAGCCACTCCCACTCAGGCAACTCCTGCGCGTCTGAGCCCTCCTGGGCCTTTGGTTTCTCGCCGTTTGCCTGAGTTGTGCCCTTCTTGGACACGCCAAACTTGCTGCGCAAGATCTCTTCCCACTTGCCCAGCTCATTGTCCGCAAGTAGTTTATCGGCTGCCTCCGTCTCCGTCTGGAACTGAGCGAGGTAGTCATCGGTTAGAGTTCCTGGAACTAGCTTAGAGAATTCAAGCGAAGTTTCGCATCTGATCCTCTTGGTTGGAATCTCCAGGCCGGTGCCCCGCCCGATCGAGTCGATCAAAAGGCCTTCCTTTCTCCGTTTGCCAGAATTCTTTGGCGGTTCCACCTGGATGGTAACCAGGATGTTCTCCACTAGGGCGACGACGAGATCCTGGCTCCGCAGATAGCTAATCAGCTGGCATGACCGCGGCGTCGCGCCTTCGGTCGGGACCTCGGACCAGTCCAGTGTGGCCTTGGAATGAACGGATCGATATTGGTAGTTGTACAGGCCGATAGAGGTCAGTGAAGATGCGAGGATGAATGGCTTGAAGAGGCGGGCAAAAGACTGTGCGTTCTCCGCCTCAATGGTTGACTTGAGCTTGGGGACAGCTCCAGTCAGGTCATAGACGCCGATGGCACCCTGCTGGAGCTGGAGAAGAAGGCCAGACTGCACGTCCACTTGATAAGCAGGCGACGCGTCGTTGACTTGACTAGCGATAGTGGTGATGGGTACGATGTCGAGAGGGACCAGGTGCTGGACGTCCGCCGGCGCCGATGCATCCCCAGATACAGCTGCCAGAATGATCAAGTGTCGACTCTCCACATCCTGACTGGAGCTCTTGGAGATGAGAGCAAAAAGTTCCACGTGCGAGGCAGCGGACTTTGGCAGCGCGCTGAAGACCTCGGGTCGGTTCTTGAACAAGCCTTCAGTGAACTCGGCCGTGCTGCCCGACAAAGCGTATTCGATGTGAAATTCTGATATGGATGTAGCAACCAAGTCCTGAACCATTGACTTGGATGACGAAGTCCACTGAATGGCCAGGGTTTCCCCAGACAGGCAGACAATCTCTCCATCTTCGCAAACGGCTATAATCTCGCCAATGTTGGCGGCTTCGTTCGAGGGCGAAGAGCAGGTGAGATACTTGACCGCGGAGGTGTTGAGGACCTGGGATACGCTGTTCGACGTCGTTTTTCCATCGCGGTGCGCCACGTCTTTGAAGAGAGTTATCTTGTGAGCACCCGCATCGGTGGTTGCGATGAACGTATATCGAAGGGCATCGCTGCTGTTGTTGCGACGGACTCTGACAGAGTAAGGAGGGCAGGTGAATGATTCCTGGGGCGGAATCGGGTATGAGGTGATCAATCGTGAGGCAGGGACCTATAAGATCGTCAGCACGATGTCATTGGCCTATAAGCACAGGAGCAAACATACGTCGTAGATGCTTGTTGTTTCTCCGTCAACGCCCACCACGAGCTCCGTTCGCTTCCTCTTCTTTTGGCCGTCCCGCTGGCCATAAACCTCCCTGGCCACGATGTTTCCCTTGGTGTGGTCCAGCGGCTTCGGCAGCGTTGCCAGCACGTATGGCTTGTGTATCCGGTACTCAGAAGCCATGGCGGTTCGTTGTTGTTGCTGGACGCTTTCCAATGGCAGGCTGGCTGAATATTTTGCGGCTGCAGCGATAGAAGCTATCGCGATAAAGAAAAAAAAAAGTTCTGGCAGCGGCCGTGCAAAACTCCGGAGTGGGGTCGCTTAGGTAAGTGGTGTGGCGGGGCCGCGATTGTGGCGCGAATCGGCAGGATCCCTGTCAGTTGCAACTGCACGCGTAAATGGAGCTTCGACGCGTCTGAATTGCTGCAAACCCGACAACACAAGGCTCTTGAGGAGACCTTTGCACCAAATGCGAGCTTGACGAGAAGATCTAGACACTGATGAGGCCTCGCGGACATTTTCTTTGGATCCTCTTCCCGCTTCTCCAGCACTGCTCCTACCTAGGATAGGCATATCCATCTCGCCCCTCGGCTTCGTCGTTGCTCTGGATATCGGCGGCATTCATGTCGACATAAAGGTGAGGGACTGAGGGACAGGACGCAAGAATGAGTACAGCCATAAAAGCACCATCACCGCTAACGCTGCGTTTCTCCCACATAGGCGCGCTGAATCAATGGGACCGGTCCTGGTCGCGACAATGGTGCAGGGCGAAAATGGCGAAACCTCCTCTAAGAAGCTTCATCCATTCTTCACCAAGGCCGACATCGACCAGCCTGCTGCTCCGCCGCCGTTGCCTATAGATGCTGCCCCGGCAATATCCGACGCAGCTCCTGCAGTTACCGCCGAAGGTCCCAAAAGAAAGCGGCGAAAGACAGATACACCTCTCGTCCAAGATGATTCAGAAGGCAAGAAAGCTCGCCGGGGAAGGAAGAGCGCAAAGCAGACGCTCAATGGAGCTATCTTGAATCATCTCAACCGGCCAGAGCAAAGCGACGAAGCCGCAAGAGACAGTGGGAGCGGCCAACCAGCTTCCAGCCTCCCTCCACCGACCCTCGACGAAGCCTCCACACAACAGCTAGGCGATGCTGCCAACCAGACCTCGAGCAATACCGAACCTTCACAACCCTCCACTGCAACTTTGCGAGTTCAAACACCTGCCCCTGTGCAATTGAAGAAGGTGCTCAAGTTCAACCCGAAAACGGGAACATTGGGCTCTCCTCCGAAGCCAAAAGTCATTAGCAAGCCAAGTCGCATGGTTACCATCAAGTATGGACGGGATGATGAGCATCGAAAAAATATGGGCAAGAAGATTGAGGGAATACTCGAGGGAAAGCTACAGCTGTCGCCGGTGCCTAGCAAACGCAAAGTGACCGAGCCCAAGCAGGCCCAAGCGGAAGTGGCACCTGAAAAGGCGAAAAGCACACACCCATTCTTCACGGGCAAAGCGAAACCGCAGTCTGAAGCCTGTGCGCAAGCGGATCCATTAAAGAAGTCCTCAAGCCACAAAACCAGGGTTTTCATGTCCACGCCTGTGTCGCCAAAGAACCCCAGGAATCCATTCGCCCCGGTTGGAAAGGGCATCCAGTTTGGTATCAAATCAGGCGGCACAAAGGTTCCGGGTGCCACATACCCACTATGGCCAGCTCACGGTATGGCTCATGTACGGGGTGATGACTTGTCAAGTACGAGAGCAGTCGTTCAATGGTCTGGAATGCGGCAGAGGAGGTCAAAGAGGGCCGCTGTTGCTATTGCCCCACAAGAGTCCGTGTTGCGGCATCTCGAACATGATCTAGATGTCCCGGGAATCCGGCAGAGTCTTCCTAGAGACAACAACAGCTTCTTACCAGCTCCTTCTGAATTACGCGTACCTCAGAGACACTTCGAAAGCGGACGAAAGCTCCAACGCCGGATTCGCCCACAGCTACAGAGTCGCCTTGCCGATGACTCCTCTTATTACGATGTGGATGTTGACGAGCTCGTGAATCAGCAGACTCCCAAAATTCATCCTGCCATCAGCCGTCTGTACAGAGCCCTCGAAGTCCAGCTGTCAGCCTTTGACAGATCACAGTGCGAAGGCACCTCTTGGGTTCAGAAGTACGCTCCGGTCACGGCTGCCCAAGTCTTGCAGCCGGGAAAGGAGGCACTGCTGCTGAGCGACTGGTTACAGGCCCTTAGGGTGCAATCTGTAGAATCAGGAAGCTCAGAGGGCGACAAGGAGAAAGGCCAGCCCAAGAAGAAGAGGAAGAAGAACAAATTGGACGGGTTCGTCATCGATAGCGAAGAGGAGGACGCCGAAATGGACGAGATTTCCGACAGCGACGGGGACTGGACCTCTCTGCCCGGCTCGAAGCTGATCAAAAAGTCCGTGATGCGCAGTCTCAATACGAGTAAAGGCAGCCGTCTCACGAATGCCATCATTTTGAGCGGACCCCACGGCAGCGGCAAGACAGCAGCGGTTTACGCGGTAGCAAAGGAGCTGGACTTTGAGATTTTCGAGATCAATGCCGGTAGTCGAAGGAGCGGGAAAGACATTCTGGAGAAAGTTGGCGATATGACGCGTAACCACCTGGTGCAGCATAACCGAGGCGCCGACTTCACTGCCATCGATCCGGAAGAGGTAGCCAACGAGATCAACTCCGGCAAGCAGGGCATGATGACCTCTTTTTTCCAACCAAAGCCCAAGTCGCAGCCATCGAAACCCCAACGAGCGAAGCAGTCCAAGGAGAAGGAGAACGTGGAGAAAGAGGCAAAGGCGCCACCTAAGAGTCAAAAGCAGTCTCTGATTCTCCTTGAAGAAGTCGATGTCCTTTTCGAAGAAGACAAGCAATTTTGGGCAACCCTGACGAGCCTCATTGCACAGTCCAAACGACCGTTCATCATGACTTGCAATGACGAGAGCTTGTTGCCCATCCAGAGCTTGAACCTGCATGGCATCTTTCGGTTTTCCCCCGCCCCTTTGAGCACTGCCGTGGATCTCTGTCTGCTGATTGCTGCCAACGAAGGCCATGCCCTTCAGCGATCAGCCGTCGAAGCCCTGTACAAGTCTCGTAATTACGATTTGAGAGCAACGATAACCGAGCTCAGCTACTGGTGTCAGATTGGCGTTGGCGATCGCAAAGGTGGATTTGACTGGTTCTACCTCCGCTGGCCCAAGGGCTCCGACTTGGATGAGAACGGCGACGTGGTACGAGTTATCAGTCAGGATACCTATCAGCAGGGCATGGGATGGTTCAATCGAGACCCTATCGTCGCCACGAGCGGACTGGAAGCCGAACAAGAGGCCATCAACCAAGTATGGGACTTTTGGAGTCTCGACATGGGAGACTGGTGCACCGGCACCTGTATGAGCTCATGGGCCACGAATACCGCGGCAAGTCTTGGCACATTGGAGGCGTATGACGACTTTTGCAGTGCCATGAGCTCTGCGGATCTCTGCTCAGGGGGCGCCTACGGGGTCAAGCTGCAGGAGGTTATGGACCCAACAATACCCGAGCTCGCGACCCACGTCAGAGAAGACTTTATCCTGGGGCAGGCTCTTCTAGATGCCGATGCCATGGTGCATCACGCCGCGCCGAGCAAGGCCATTTCGACGTGCGTCAAGTCTCTCGCCCGGGCGACACTGCTGAACTCGACGACAAAGACATCCGACGCAGCGGGAGACTCGGCACAGGCCTCTGCTCTACGGCCAATAGACGAAGGGCAGGCTGTCTCAGTTCTTGACTCGTTCTTTCAGTCGTGTCCTCACCAAATGACCAGGATGGACATTGCTATCGCCTTCGACCCCATTGCCGTTCCTCCCAAGGTCGCTCCAACAGCATACCTCGACCCCTCCGTCTTTGACCGCACCCTGAAGCTCATTGTCCTCGACGTCGCGCCCTGGGTCCGCGGCATCGTAGCATACGAGTACCAGCTCATGCAGCGCCGCCTGAAACTGAGCAACCTCATGAGCGAAGGCGGCAAGCGGAAGCGAATGCGCACCACACGGAGCGCATACTCGGCGCTCGAAGGCGGAGAGCGGAGAACGACGAGGCGAGAGAGGCACTTTGGGGATTGTCTTTCTACGCAAAACGTCTTGCGCACGGGAGGCGACAGATGGACGGATTTGGTGACGGACGAGATGGCAAAGTCGGAGCTGGGGGATGAGAGCACTGCGGCGAGCAGTCCTGGGTCTGACGACATCGCGTTGCCGTGACTTGCGGAGAAGTTGGATTTGACTGACCGGTTATGAGCACATGCGCAGAGATTGACGGGGCCTTTGAACCAGGCGTCTTGGGACGAAAAGATGTTGACCATTTATAATTCGGGGGATATGGAGCATGGAGCAGATACCGTGGGTTCTCAGGGCGCGTTGTTGAACAGAACGGCTCTCTTTGGTAGTGAAGCAGAGATGAGCCCAGCATTACCTACTAGTTTCAATTACATGCCATTATAAGCTACATTATGATGTTTACTTTCACCGTTTGTGTAGATGCTCATATGCTTCGTTCACCCCCTTACGTACCCTATACTTAATGAAAGGTCTTGTATGTACATTAAAAGAGAGCCATGGCCGTTTTAAAGATATAATAGACTCTCTTGAGTATGAGGACAGTAGTACCTGTAGATGTACTGCAGCTCTCTCATCAAAGCTACAGAGCAGAATAATTGCCGGTCGATTTGTGAACAAGTCCAGTCCTCCATTGAAGTCAAGCTCGAGATACAAATGATGAGCATCACCAGCGATCAACTCAGGTAATAGCAACACATTCTTGCGAGATCATCCTCTCCTTAATGGCATTGATGGACTGAGTCAAGCAAGACGACAAATTGAAATATGATATCGTACTATGCTCCCAAGACATCGAGTCCCATCTCCAACCAAGCCAACAGCTGTCAAACCTTCCGTGTCCAAAGGTATGAACCCGTCAGCAGAATCTTACAACGTCAAGTACTCAACGACACCAGAAACCAGTACCACGCTCAGCCAGTCCATCCAAAAGAAAGAAAAAAACCAATCAATTCAACAGCCTCGCAAACCCAACCCCATCAAACACTGGCAACAGCAGCGCCTCCAACCGCTCGTCCCCCGCCAGCGCAGCGTTAAACTCCCGCAGCGCCACGAGATCCTCCTCCGCCGTCACGACGTGCCGCTGCAGCTGCCAGTTGGGATTCTCCTCGCTCCCGTCGGCCACCAGCCCCCGCCGGAGGACATTGTCCGCGATGATGATGCCGCCGGGGCGCAGGAGCCGCGTGGGCGAGCCCGGCTGGGAGCCGGCGAGGATGTCCCTTAGGTAGGCGGGATAGCCTGACTTCTGGGCGTCGATGAAGATGAGATCGTATGGCTCTTGAGGCTTCAGGGCTGAGAGACTGCATGAGGCCTGTTAGTTCTCTCACAAGTTCTCATTAAACGAGGATCAAGCAAGATGAGTGGACATGACTTGCGTTTTGAGCGCATCTCCCACAATGAGTTCCACATTCTTCGCGTCATGCTTCTCAAACGCCTCTCTCGCAATCTTCGCATAGTCCTCCGAGAACTCAAGGCCCGTCACCTTGCCGTCCTGGCCGACGGCATGCGCCCACACGAGCGCAGAGTAGCCGACATACGAGCCAATCTCGAGGATCCGCTTGGCGCCAAAGGCCCTGGCGAAGAAGACGAGGCTCTGCGCCTGCAGGTTTGAGACCATGTACGTCGCGTGTGGATGGTTTTGCTCGACCCAGGCATGATAGTCGACAAGGTACTGTGGCAGCGAGGTCGAGTTGCGCTCAGAGTAGGCCGTCACCTCGGCGGCTACCTTTGGGGTGGGATAGAGGTCTCTGGTGGTCGGCTTGTTGGCCATGTTGGATCGATGGCAATGGGTTCAGATGTAGATTGAGAATGAATTTGCTTGAGATCTTCACAATTGCACCATCAAAGAGGCTTCATCCAGCGTTCATATACGTGCTGCATGCAAAGAATTCTCTCGTAACTCCTCAGGGCCAGAGTCGTAACTATCTTGAGGTGAGATTCGGTCTCCGAGCGTTGATGCGGAACGTCGGCGCGTACTCTAACGCATGTTGCAGACGCAGACAGAAGACGTTCGGTTGATCATCGTTAGAGTCAATTGCGTTATGTTCTCGTACTATTTCTCTTTTCCCCTCATCGGTCTCCGAGGCCGAGAGCCGATAAAAGTGCCCAGCATCACATCTGATAAGCCCGTAGAGGATTCATTTTGCGTCGTCATCCGTCTCAGTATAGATGGAAAGCGAAACAAGCCTCCTACATGGCCGACATCAAGATAAAATCACATGGCTGGGGGAAACATAAGGAACAGAAGGCAATCGAAGGCGCTGCTGGTGCCTCGAGCTGGCAGATGGGTTGTTTCGCGGTCCGCACCATGCCTCGTCTCTATGCCGGCATGGCCTCGGGCTCTAATAGCAAGAGAGGGAGCGGCCTCACTTTGCATGATGCCATCAAGGCTCTCGACAAGGCGCGACAACCAGAAGGATCACCAAGCTGGTGAGGGGTCTAGGTCCAGCGCCTACTGCTGGGGCCTACCGACCTCTGACGAAATCCCGCTTTCATCGGCCGGCTTTGCCATGCCGTGTTTGCTCCGTCTCAATATCCTGAATGAGGCAGCGGCAGGAGTCGAGAGCGAGCGGACGGAGCATGTGCCAATCAGGCAGCCCGGCCAGAGCATCGCGGATCCCCATGCTGTCATTGAGCAAAGCCGGCTCTGCCTGGATGAAACTGTGCTTCCGATCAGCTGCTTTGTAGTGTTACTTGTACGTGCGCAAACAAGCCGAATCTGGAGTATAACCCGATAGCCGAGAAGCAAAGGCAGCGGCGGGGGAAGGATTCGTAATATTGGCTTATTCCACCAGCCAGTGGACCTTGGCTGAAGAGGCAGGCAACCTTGGGCTCATGGCGGAAGCGGACCAGGGCTGGTCTTGTGTTGGAACTTGTATTACAAGCAGAGCAGAATAGACGGAGAACGTCCTTGGCAAATGGCCTTTGAACCATGGCGCTCGCTCATGGGGTTAGAGGTTGGAGGAGCCGCCCGGGTAAAGGAGGTCGTCCTCTAGTGCAGCAAGGACATGCCAGTCTGTGGAACCAAGGGGACCGTAAAGGTGGCACTTGGTTCAACCTGTTGGACTTTGCCCGTCATGAAGGCGTCTAGGCCCAAGGGAGCAGGGAGCCGTCATCCGGCCCTCCGCCGTGCCACCGGAACGCGAATAGGCCGGGGAAGAGGTAAGAAAGGCAGAGAGACGCGGCCTAAGGCTAGGGCGGGGAGCCTCAGCTGCCTCCGATCAACTGCTCAGTTCGGTTTCAGGGATGGTACCAAGTTAAGGAGGTCGGAAAGGGATCACCGTCGTTCGCCATCATGAATTGACACAGCCTAGAGGGCGAGATGACGAGAAACACGGCTAATCTCGTTGCGGACTGGGCGCAGTTGATGCTCGGTCCAAGCCAACGGGCGTTGCAGTTGGCTGCCGCCTCACAGCTGATGATGCCGATGATACCATGGTGACCCCCCCGGTAGGCAGAGAAAGCGAAGAATGTGAGCAAATGAGAAAACAAGAATGAATCGGAAAGCAGCTCGTACATGGCGTCGAGGCTAAGGGGGGCCTTCGAGCCACTCAAGACGTGTTGCCTAGAGGGGGACTGCATGCTCATATTACATACCTACTTGCTTGTACTACTTCGTACTCATCGCAGGCTTGTGCGGCAGCAGGGCAGTACTCGTCCGGGCAAGCATGCACACCACCTACCTGTCTGTCTGTAGCGTCTGAAAGGGTGCCTTGGGGCCATAATACGTGTGTGTGTGTGTGTGTGTGTCTTGTAAGGCGTGCGCGCACGCCCAATGGCATATCGACTCCAGCAGCAGCTTTTCTCGTTGTGCTTGTGGCGGCCCCTGAGAGCGACAGGAAGCTCACATGTACGTATAAGCGTCGATACCCAGGGTGTGCGATGTATTGCTGTCCTTCCAGACACCCTTCTGCCTCGTTTGTAGCCCTCGGCCGGCGGCACCCAGATGCCCTAACCAGAGGTGAGAGGCACCGTCATGCCCCAAAGCAAGCCTGGCGCCTAGTTTGTAGCTGATGCCATGACCTCTGCTGATGCTAGGCGGTGCCGACCAAAGAAGCGCTTCGGCGCATCTGATGTGATGTGTGGTGTGCATGTTCTGCCACGGCTCCAGCGTGAGTACCTGTAACACTGCAAGCCTGCTGCGGCCAGTCGTGTCTGGGGCGGCTCGCCTCCAAGTCGGTGCAAGGTTGTTCGTGGCGTTGTCTAGGGCAGGCCAGCGATGACTAACGAGCAGCAGTTGGGCCATCGTGCGTCTGTACTCTGCAATAGATTGCCCATTCGTACTTGAAAGAGTGGGCTCGGGAGTCTCGTCAAGGCCGCCCGGCGAGTGCAAATGCTCGTACGTACTGTTTTGCGGAGCGCGGAATAGATTACCTTGGTGGGATGAGGACGGGTCGTTTGTCGCACGCAGTCGCCTGACTCTGAGGGCGAAATGAAGGGGAGCAGACAGGAGCTGCGATTATGGGAGAATATCAGCAAGCATGTCTGCAACCTACAGACTGGTCAAGGTAGAGAGGGTCTATCGCCGAGCAAGTACCTGACCTACTACGGTGGTAAGGCAGTTGACTCGGAGAGCCTCAAGTCCAAGCAGCCCAAGACCTTGCGAAGCAGCCCGTACTCCGTATCGCCCGGCCGTCTTTGATACTGTCATGCCGGCCAGCCATGGGTCTCTGATGGCTGCTCCATCGAGGGCCTCTAGCTTGACGCCAGAAGGATCGAGGCTGATTGATGATGGAGTCCCGGCCCGCTTTTGGGTCCTGTGCGCGAGACATGCTTGGAATCGAGTGAGAGAGACGGAGAGTCGAGATGACGAAGATGCGCATTGATGTCGCATCAGGGAGACGACGCAGGATTATTAGGCTTGTATGTATGTACGTGTATGTATGGGTGAAGAGGTGATGCTGCGGTGAGCGGTTGATGCCTTAATGCCTGGTGAAGACGCTGAGATAACAGGGTACCTGTGCTTCGGTGGTGCAGCACGCATAAACAGCTGTACCTGGTTCACTTGGAGTCCGTTGCTCTTGCCGTAACAACAACTTGGACACACTTGCGATAAGATAAGGTACAGTACCTTGGGCTTGACTTCTTCGCTCTTCACTCTCACAACACCAAGAGCGACGACGACGATCCAATCACGCGGCCGCAGGACAGCTTGTTTTCGAGGTGGACCGGCATCGTGGTACAGGGCATTGCGAGTACCTAGGTACGTTCAGTGCAGGGTGTAGCAAGTACGAGTGCAAGTACAGGAACGGAGCCTCGCTGTCTCGCGGACGCCACACGGAGCATCACTCTTGACCATCTATTCCGTACAGAGGCGGCAGTGTTATTACTCAGTCGCACCGTGGCTGTGGAACGCCGAATGCAAGGTGCTAATAAGGGTCTCTACACCTTAGCGGGCTCCAACCATTACAGGTACTCACAATTGACAAGCGAGGTCACAGCCGAGGAGCCCGACGTTTGAGTCGACTTGATGCAGGTGTGTCTGCTGTTTAGGACCGCTGCCACCGAGCCTGAGATTCCGAGGAGAGAAGAAAACTTTCATCATTGACATGGGAAACGCTCTTGGAGGAGGAAAAGGCAGAAGACGAAAGACGGCGGCATATCACAAGTGCTCTAAGTAGAGAGCTGCAGGCTGATAGGCGGCTGATGGACCCCACCGTTTCCTAGCAGTGTGAACAAATCGAATCTCGGAGAGCCTCGGCTTCTCTCTGTCCAGCCATCACAAGATTCACCACTGACATGCAGCCTCGTTACGCGCAGGCGACTTTTTCGCCGTCATCCTCACCATCATCAGGGGCGGGAGTCCATCCGACTGCTGGCTTGGTTTGGTTGGGCCGTGTCGTGTCGTATGTTCTCGTGCTGGGCATGGATTCGATGAGTTGATCCGAATGCGACCTGGGCAAATATTGGTTCGGCCTCCACGTCCTGCGCCAAGGCAAAAGGCAAACAGAGGCTATCTTTAGCGCCTCAATCCGCCTGCGTGCGAGGTGGTCCAACGGCAGGGCCCTGGACTTGGACTTTGGACTGACTGACTGACGACGAAACTCCTGGCCCAACTCGACTCCGCTTGCTGACGCCGTCGTGGATGAGCGAGCAGATGCACCCGCAAGCGTTCGTTGTCTTTCGCCGTCGGATTCCAGCAAAGAACAACGCAAGCAAACTCGGAACCTGCTGCGTCCGCACTCGCTCTCCACACAGTATTCGGCTATGGCGTCCCTTTCGCCTCGTTGATGGACCGCTCGACTTGACTGCTGGCTTGTTTCTCCCTTCTTGTACCTACTCACATGCCTGGTACATACATCTGTGCATTGAAGAAGGTATTACTAGGTATGGGGCACCTTGAGTGGAACAGTCTCTCCTCCTCTGCGCCTGTGATTCGATGGCCGGACCACCTGGATAACCATCGCTCGGTAAGAATGGCTGGCTGGAGTTGGATGGCTGCCGTTGAGCCACGAAAACTTCCTCGAACCGATTCACGCAATCGGAGCCACTCCATCAGATTAGCCAAGCGTCGCCCCTCGTCACAAGCAGAGCGTGGCAGTGGTTCCGGCACGAGTTGTCGCACAAGGGCAAGTCTTGATCAGAATCAAAGGGGGAGAATCCCATACGATACAGACGCCCTCGCCTCGGCCAAATCGTTCCGTTCTTGTTGCTCCTGAAGAAACGGCCTGTCTTGTTGGCTGTGATCCGGCCGATCTAGTGCCTCTACGGCTGATGCTTCTAAGCTAGCATGGCTAATTAACCTGCAAGAACAGGCACGCAACGGGCTGAGGCTGGGGGCTGGCCGTCACGCCGTGACCGCACCCTTGACAATATGTACGGAGCAGTGAGATGCCATCTCAGGTATCTGTCGCCCATCGCAAGGAAGTACCAAAAACAGTACAAGTACGCTATGATGATAGCAATCTCTGCAGTGTCTGTTCTCATCATGCATCATTTAGATCATTCAGCAGCCCGCCACTACTCACGGCCTCTCGTCTTTCTTCGCGGGGCTCCCGATTCTGCAAGTGAGCCGCATTGGCTGACGTTGAGCTTCTGCCTCTTTTGACCTCTAATCTTGTTC